GGAAGCTCAGAGGGACTAAGCTGGCCAATTCTCTCTGAGCATTAGCAGTGATTCTACAACAGCACGGCCACTGACGCTAGACCTAGAGTTCCTTACAGGCTGTGATCTCAGTGGCTAATCTCTGAGTGGCAAGTACAGTCACGTGCCAAGTCAACGATTTGGTCAAGAACCCACATAGGTGATGTATAGGTCTAGCAAATAGCCTAGATGTGTAGTAGGCTACACCATCTAGGTGTATGTAAGTGCACTCTATGATGTTCGAGCCGTGAAATTATTCCCCTAATTTAGCGGCATGTAAGGTATGCAGTTTACTTACATTTAATGTGAGTGAAACTCAGACCTGTCATCTCAGTTAAAATACTAAATATTTATTTGCCACCTGCTCTGTATCACACCCTTCTACAGTACTAAATAAGAACTACCCTTGTGGAGTGTAGTATGGAGTGGAGGGGTGTGAGACTGATAACAGTATTTTGATCCAGGGCTGGGAATCCACAGATGCAGAGGGCTGTTGGCACTGTTCTCTGCCATTTTATATAAGACACTTGAAAAAGGGCACAGGCCGGGCTGAGGGACCTCCCCTCCCCCCCCACCGAGTGCACACATTTTTGTGCACTGGACCTCTAGTTTTATACAAGAGACTTGAAAGTCCAAGGAGGTGGGAAGGTCCTGGAACCAATCCCCAGTGGATACCGAAGGGGGGCTTTTGGGGGAAGTAAAAAGTTATATGTGGCTTTTTGACTGCATGGGGTCAGCACCCCTAATCCTCATATTGTTCAAGTCAACTGTACATGATGCTAGACAATAAGTGTTAAGCCTTAAAAAAAAAAAAAAAAAAAAGAGCCCTGATGGTGTGACTCGTTGGTTGAGCATTGTCCCATGCACCCAGAGGCTGCTGTGTGGATTCTGGTCATGGCACATGCCTGGGTTACCAGGTTGATTCCCACTAGGGGGCGTGCAGGAAGCAGCCTATCAGTGTTTCTCCCTCTCCCTTCCTCTCTAAAATCAATGCAAACATATTTTTAAAAAAGAAAAGCAGTACCAAGAAAGTTGCAATTTGAGAGAGAGAGCCAAGGAAGACCTCATGGAAAAGAGGTGGCATTTCATCAAGACCGAAGGTCTAGGGAAGAACTTTCCAGGGAAAGAAAGGCAAAGGTCCGGGGCAGGAATGGCCGCAAGTTCTATGGTCCCCATTGTAGAGATGGAAGCAAGGCGGGCAAGGCTGTCGCTGGGCCGCGCCATCCTCCAGAAGACAGCCTGGTCCTCAGTCGTCTGAACTCCAGACCTGCCCCAATCTGGGGCCCAGGAGAGCCTCTCACCTGAAGAGCGCGTGCGCACAGGGTGCAGGGGGCCTCCGCGTCCTGGTCCGGCTCGGGCTCGGTGTCAGCAAAGGGACGGGCCGCACGCTTGGGGGCCAGCATCCGGGGTGGCGGAGGCCCGAAGGCTACCGGCACGTGAGGCGGGGGTGGCACTGCGGGCGGGAGGGAGGGCTTCAGGGCCGCCCCGGGGGGGTCCCGCGCCCCAGCCCATCTTCCTGCCACCCCGTCTCCTTCCTTACCCGAAGGGCGGCCACGGCGGAAGGGAAGCCGTGCACTATGAGCACCATCTCCCTGGGGAAGAGAACGAGGCCGTGGCCCGTGAAAAGCCCCCGCCTCCCCCACCCCCGCTCCACCGTGTCAAGCCCAATCCCCTCGTCACGGGTCGCCTTCAGTCCTGCCAGAGAGTGGAGTCCTCACCGCGGGCGTCAAGCCTCGTCCATAAGCCGCTGCCCTCCTTAGAGGCCCGCCCCTCGCACCTGCCTCCTCGGCTCTGCCCCGGGTCACGGGGCTTAACTGCCTTCCCAGGTTCTATCTTCCATCCCAACCCGGCTCACCAACCCCTGTCGCGGGACCAAGCCTAAACCATCAGTCCCCTTCCTAACATCCTAGTCCCACAGGCTCCTCCTCCCCACAGGCCCCTCCTCCCCACAGGCCCCTCCCCGGAGACAGACCCACACACCTCACCAGCCACCCCAAGGGCCAGGTCTCAGCGCCACCCCGGCCCCGCCCACTGTCACTG